AGAGGCGCTGGCCGGCGCTGCACCGCAGCCGAGTCCTGCCGGCCGTCCCGCCGCCCCGCGCCCGCCGGCCCCTCCTCGTTCCGGACAGCCTGGGTCCGCTCTGCAGCCCTCCCCACACAGCCCCAGGCAGGGTGGTCTGCCCCCGGCGTCCTCAGGGTCTGTCCCGGCCCGAGATAGTTCTGAGGGCGTCACGCAGCCGAGATTCCCCGAGGGTGAGGCCCGCGTCCCGCACGGCCTGTGCCCGCCTGCGCTGGCAACAGGAGACAGCAATAAATGTGATACATGTAATTTCCTTTCCTGGCTGTCTTGGGTTTTTTCTCAACCAAGGCACTCCTTCCTTCCTTGCCTGGCATCCCTTTTCGGAAGCCAGAATTCACCTCTCCCTCGGAATGTGCACCCTGGGCTTGCGGAGGTGAGATCGCAGGGCTGGTGCGCTTCCTCCTCCTCTTCTGCCTGTGGCCCCTTCCTGGCCCTGGCGTGAGCGGCTTCTCCCCGGGCACCAGGTAGGCGCAGAAAAGTCGCCAAGCTTGAGCTCAGAGAGAACCCTCGCGGAACAGAAGCCTCTGCAGCCTGCCGGCGCTTACCTGGTGCAGAGAGGCGGGCAGCAGCTGTGTCTCGAGCCCCGGGGAGCTCTGTGAACTCTTAGGCACAGATAAAGCTTGGCAGGGAAAGCAGGAGTGGAATTACCCAGAGCCTCTAGAAAAGGAAAGCAGTTTCTCCCATTGGAAGAGCCCCACTCCCTGCCCACCCCGCAAGCTGGGACCTTTCTGAGCTTGGTCAAAGGTCCCTGCAAAGTGGGAGGAAAATGTTTCTTCTGCTGCAGGGTGGGGGCAGCTGAGGCCCAAGGAGTTTGGCCTCCTGATCGTCCCGGGTTCTCCTTCGATCCCTCCTCAGATGCCCACAGCCATGGTCTCTCACGCCTGCCCCAGCTGCGAAGAGGCCTGGAAGGTGCAGGAGACAGATGTGCACGCAGGGGTAAAGGCAGCCTTGGCCCCGACCAGCCAAGCCCCAGTTCCTCGGGCAGGAACTTCTCTGGAGGCCTCGGGTCTCCGGCCTGCCTCGGAGGGCCACGCCACACGAGCACGGAGCCCAGCACGTGCTCAGCACACACAGGAATAGAGCAGTTCAGAAAGAAGATTCCTCCCACCGCTCACCCCCTGGATGCTGGCTCTCTGCCCTCTTTGGCAGCACCCACATCCCTTCCACCCGGGGCTCGGGGTCTCCTGGGGGCAGCAGCTGCACAGCCCTGGGGGCCAGCGCACCTGCCTTGGAAAGCTGCTCTGCTCTGTGTGAAGCAGGGAACCTGGTGCCAACTCCTGCCGAAGTGGGGACGGATGCCCACTCTGCTGTGCTGGCCTCACTCCCCGATCGTCCCTGCCCTGGACACTCTGCACTCCGGGAGCTCACATTCTGGCGCTGTGTGTTAGTTTAGACTAAATGTGTGTCACCTCCTTAGGCCACGACCTGCTCCTGTGAACGTCACACTGAGGGTCGGGGGAGGGAAGTAACTGACTTCCTGAAACTCCTGCTAGTGCTGAGAACCGACCCTCAGAGGTGTACCTCAACTCTCCACGTTTTGGTCCTTTCTGCAGGTTGCAGATTCCAGGATGAGGCTAAGGAATACATGGCAGATCTCGTCGGGGGCTGGGCTGAGCCTGAAGGCCTGAGAAGGTGAGCCGGCGAGACCTCAAGAGCCTCAGGGCCCCAAGGCTGAGCCTGTCCAGGAAGCTTCCCTCGCATGCGCCCGTGTGCCCCTGGGCCAGGTTCTGCCCCGGCACCGAGCGGTATACTTCTCTTCCCCGTCTCCGTGCACTTGGTTAGGGCTGAAATCGCTCCTCTGCGGTGCTGCCCTGTCCTGGTGTCACCCTCGAGGGGGCTGTCTGAGAGGCGCTGTTGACGGCCAGCCTGGCCCCTCCCCGGCGCCCTGGCTCCCAGCGGCGCCCCCACCTTTATCTTCACAGCCTTTTCCTGAGAGCACCCCGCACATCTAATCCCAGGGTGGCATCTGCCTCTCGGCCGCCCCGACCTGACCACAGGGTTCCTGGCTGCCAACCGCAGAAAAGGACTGGGTCAGCTTGAACAGAACCACCGCCTGGGAGAAGGACACTGGCAGGAAGGCTGGCGCACCAGACACGGAAATGGGCTGAACCCTTGTGAACGTCATAGCTCAGGGCCCAGGAGCAGATCTGGTGAGGACCTGGCCTGCTGGGCGCTGGGCTACAGGCGCCACCACATTTAGGCAGTGCTGCCCGTCACCCTAGAGCGAACCCTGAGTGGGCCGCATCAGCTCGAACCCCACTAAGTATGCCTGCACCTTGGCTGCCAGAGCCTGAGGAACGAGGATGAGCCAGTTCCCTGAACGCGGAGCGTAGCGGCTGGGCCACCCCAACATCTCCACGCTCCCTGCAGCACCGCGCACGGTGCTGGGTGAACACCTGTACAGCTGAACTCCTGTCCTTCTCTTTGTGGTGGAGGCTGTTCATTCACGGTGGTGCCCTGAATATCTGGGGGCCGCCTGTGCACCAGAAGCTGGGGGCAGTGAATGTTTACCAGGGTTGCCTGGAGGAGAGTGCCCTGCGGGGCGGGGCTGCCGGGTTCCCTGGTGTAGGTGTTCCGGCGGGTGGTTCAGGCTGAGAGCTGCGGGTTGCGGGGCTAGCTGTGCAGGGCGGGCTAGATCCCACCTGCTCTCCCGCCCCGCTGGCTCCGCCGCCAGGCCCTTCTGCACGTGGGTTACCTTCCAGCCCTGAGTTCATTGAGACCGAGACCAATCTTATCAGAATATTCAGACTTCCTGCTGTTAAACATACTGGTTTCCCTTAAGATGGTCTCCAACTTACAACAGCTCGACTTACAACTCTTCAACTTTATGATGATGTAGAATGTGAAAGCAATGCACACTCAGTAAAGGAAACTTTGAATTTGGAATTTGGATCTATTCCCTAGCTAGCGATACACACACTGATATTTCTGTCAAACCACAGGTCCCTATCAGTCCCACCCTCACAAGGGAAGGAGTCGCCATGTGCCATAGGTTAGGGTATTCAAGGCATTTTCCACTTCTGGTATTTTCAACTTCCTGTCGATTTCTTATCCCATCAAAAACTGAGCAGCTTCTTTTATACAGCCAAACAAAAGTCAGGGAAAGAAGCCAGGTGTAGTGGTGCACACCTGTGATTCCAGCACCCTGGAAGGCTGAGGCAGGAGGATCAAAAGTTTGAGCCCAGCCTGGGCAACTTAGTGATTTAGTGAAACTCTACCTCAAAAATTTGACAAAAGGGCTGGGATGTAGCTCGTGTGAAGGCCCTGGGTACAATCCCCAGTACAGCAACAAACAAACCAACGAAGTGGGGGTAGAAGGGTGTTAAGGCCCCAAGTGCAGCTCTGTCCCTCAACGTCATGCTGTGCGTGCAGAGGCCACTTCCACCCACCTTCCTCGCCATTGCTCTGAATCCCCATCAGCACTGTGGAGCGCAGCCAGGGCCACCAGTGCGAGGACGGTGCTCACAATACGCGGCCGTCATTAAATAAGCCATCCAGCCCGTGAAGGAGAGTTTTATCCTCAAAGCTGGGACATACATTTCCCTCCCTGCGCTTCCCACAGACAAGAGGGCCTTACAGAGAGAAAGAATGGGGCCCTGAGATGTTGCTTAGGGACCTTGGGCCCTCTACCCACTCCTCAATTCAGACCCCAGGAAAGGGTACCAGGAGGAAGGGCAAAGGCGAGGGGAGGGAGCAACCACCCTGGGGACAGCGCAGTGCGACAGAGACAAGGAAGGGGCTCCTTCCTGAAGGGCTGTCCCTGGCAAATATCTCACCCCTTCCTTCCACTCGGGAATGCACAAACACACAACACCATCATGGAAGAGGGGGCTGTGGTCCCCGTGGAGAAGTTCGTTGTCTGAATCCTGTAGAGTAACAGAGCTGGTGGGAGGTACCCACCTCATTTCCCACATGGCAGGGACCAGAGTCCTGACCCCACAGGCCCAGGCCTACAGGCACCTCT